AAGGTCATTGAGATGAATATGTCCTCCTGCAAGGAAAGACCTCAGCTCATTATACTTCAACCCCACCGAAAACAACCCTATATTCCACCAGATGTAATGTTGCCATGACAACTGAAGAAGTAGGGGGGAGCCACGTGCACACACGCACTCAGCGAAAGACAAACGTAGCAGGATGTCTCCAGTCTGAGTGGGAGAGTGAGTGAGAAGAATATGGAAAGCCAAATATAGGAGTCCAATAAACAGCTCCTGATCAGCTGCTTTATTGTTTTTTCATATCGCCTCCTCTTTCATCATAATTCCATCTCCCTGTCATCTTTCCACTGCTTCCTCCCGCCCTCACCCAGACCAAATATTTCCCCGGAGCATGGCTCCTGTATAAACTCATCTACACCGGGAAACTTTGATTATGTGATGACAGAAAATAAAAGCATAACCCTATTCAGACGCATAGAGCACGACAAAATCTGGGGAAAAACACAAATGTACACAACTAACAAATAACTGTAGCGTGATCCTATTTAGAGAAAAATATAGGATAAGGCATAACAAAGGACTGCATATGACTGGAGCCCACATTAGATGGCAACCTGGCCACAACAAGTAACTGTGCACACATCAGTTACTTTCCTTCTGAATGTAATGAGTGTTAACAAAGGGAAATCCTGTCTATTTATAGTTTATTGATATTAAAACTCCAGTGACAAGTACCAGTAATAATGCACTCAAGGAAATGCCATTGTTGTCTGGATCCCTGAATCATACTAGTGTTCTTTGTCAGGGTGCAACACTTATCTGCCGCCATTTTTAATACCAACACCTGTGGTTTCCTACTAAGGAGCTGAAGATGACAAACACCCCTGTCACAAACAGTATGTCTGGATCCATCGCTCACATCCTGCCTGTAATCAGATCACTGTCCAACAGTACTAACACACTGTTTAAAGAAACCTCAGTCTCAGCACTTTTTATTTCTTTATTTGATAACCGTGAGTCTTCTCATACCGTTTTCCCACTACTACTCTGTACAGTATTCCGTCCGCAGTAAAACTAGACGACACGTGTATGACTAAACCTAACTAAACTGCAGTACTTTCTAAATGCCACGACAGGTGTTTGTTTGTATTTTTGGTGGCCGACTGTGTTCATAATCACTGCAGTGTGTGTCACTGTCTGTGCGGCAGCAGGCGCGTGCCTCAACAACATGTGGTGGTGGTGGTACGGCTTCCGCTCTGGACGCTGTGAAGTGGTTGGATGAAAGCTCACACATGGTGACGGGGGAGACGGGAGGGAACACCCGCTGGGACCAGAGCTCCCCCACAGCTCCAGGAATCTCACAGTCTCTCACGCTGTCCCTTTTCTGTTGGTAGTTCAAAGTCAATGAATTGTAATAAGAGTAATAATTTAAAGCCTGGGACAATCAGGAACACTACGGCAGTCAGCCGCATGAAATGAAATCATTTTATTTGGTTGTTAATTAATCTTTTGTGTTTGTGTTTAAAAGGGAAAAAAAATCAACCGTGAAGACACCAGTGAACTTAAGGAGTACAAATAGGTTTGTTTTGATCTAACTCTCTAAAGTAAAGTATCCATTAACAGTTAGCATTAGTTTCTAAATTCAAACAGCATGAAAGAATTCCTTTGGAGAAACTAAGTTAAGGAGTTACACTGGAGAATGTGTGAATACACACATCTCTTAATCTGGGTCATGGTCAAGTATGAGTAGTGTCCAAGGACACAATGGCATACCAGAATCAACCTGCTACCTTCTCAGAGGTGGATACTGTAGTTCACTGCCCACTGAACTACAGCCACTCCAGTTAAGAGCACAGCACAGGAAGCATAAATGCATTCATTAATATTTTATTATATAACCGCTTAAGGGTCATGAGGGGGAACTAGAGCTGGTCCCAGCTAACAGAGGACACGGGGGACGAGGGGAGGAAGGGTTAAACATCCTGGAACTCACAGAAACTGATCTTCAATTTAGAGACGACAAAGGAGACTTTTCCAAACTGAAATAAACCCTGCACAAACAGGCAGACGCCTGGTACTTTGCTAACCTTAAGAGCACATCTTGCACTTCATCTTCTTTTTATAGGAGCTCATGATGTGTTCTTACAAACATCTTGTGATGTCTTTTATGTCAGATGGTGTTTGGCGCGACAATCAAATCAGAGCATGTGAGTGAAGTGGAGCGCCCAGACATTAGCTGTCTTTGTTGTTTCGCTCACACAATCCCTCCGTTCAAAGTCACATCAGGCTGCTCTGCTCAGCACTGCGCTAACATTGGTTCACCTCCAATCCAGTGAGGCATAAAACAACACTGGAGGTTGAGGTAGGCGGAATCAGAATTTAATAGTAAACAACACTAAGGATTAGTTTAGACCAAGCCCTGGTGTGATCACTTAAACCTACAACATGGAAAGTGGAGCGGTTTAGAAAAAAAAGTGTGGATGTTTGCCTGCAGCTCTGATAGGTCGGTGAATGGTTTGATGAAATTTATGCAAATCAGCTGTTTTGGAGCCACCTACAGTAGCAAATTACACCTACACTTCTGCTGGGTCTTACGGTTGTGACCCAATTTTTTTAAGCACTCAATATTACTTTCCAAAAATAGTCCCGTAATCCTTAATGCCTCCATGGTAGGGCTGAGCGCTGTGTGATTAAATTATAGAAATGTATTCACACAATTTTTATGCCAAATGATAAAATACGATGACTATTGGTACGTGAATTAGGATGGCGTGGCCAAAGTCTGACGCTTTCCTGTGCAGTCTGTACGGACTGATAGGAAATGTACTAAATGTCTCTCCCTTTCTCACCCCTCTCCCCCCCCTCTCTCTCTGGCTAACTCTCTGTTTGAGTTTGAAAATATTGGCATTTCCTTTAATAAATAAATTCAAGTTTAATCGAAGACCGCAGGTGATAAAATTAAACTAATCTGGCGCTAGGGGTCACTACTGTCGTGCTATAGTTTTCATAGTGATTCTGTGAAGTTTTCACACCAGATGCCCAACAACAAAGTCAACAAATATTAATTAAAAATTAATAATTTTTTTAGGGTCATGACCCAGCATTTCAGATACTACACTACTGACGGATGAAGCATCACAACGTCACACATAGGTAGGCTGTTTGGAAAGTGATTGTTCTTAAACTCCATTTGTCTTTAATGTAATTCCCTAAAACTAAGTCTGCTCTGATCTGGCTGGAATGACTGCTAATGCCAACACAAGCTACAGCAACCATTTTGATCTCAGTTCAACCAGGTACAAAAAGAAAATACATTAAATATAAATTACCCACCATGGTATTTTCTACTCTGGGACGAACAATGTGTTGTTAAAATCCATCAGCCCGGCTCCTTCAGTCTCACATGCTATTTCAGACTCTGATACTGTATTTCACCCACATTTTCTTACACATCTCCCCTACTTTCTCACCTTCATCCTTCACAAGACTCTCTTCCTGAGATGAATCACTACAATGAAAAAAAAAGAAAAACACGTCACTGTTTTTTTTTATTTTACCTTAAATAACCTTTTCTTTCTTTCAAAATGAAAAGGAGAAACGTCACACAACGCACACAAAACGTTTCCATCTGGAGAGGCTGTGATCATTAGCTCACTGCTAATCAAGGTAGCTGTGCTGTTAATATCACCTTTGAGAGTTTCTGCTCATTTTTCAAATTACTCAGACCACTTTGTGTCTACATTTACTTTCTCTCAAACAAAAAGTGTGTCTGTGTGTGTGTGTGTGTGTGTGTGTGCCCATAATTAGGGCAGACCAGCCACATGTGGGTCTCCCCTGACACTTTTCATCCAAGACCTAAATATTCATGAGACTTCCATGCACTAACATGACTGTAATTAGAACTAGAAAATACACACAGTGAGAAGGAAATGCCCTCACACTCTCCAGCAGGGGCTGTTCTCCTCATATTCACACATAAAATTACCCTGCTGTCCAGTTCTCCCATTCTAAAAAGAGACATATTAGGTACTGGCATCTCTGCTGTTCTGCACTTGAAAACTC